AATAAAAAATAAACTTTTACAAATTTTTAGAATAATAAAATTAAAAAAAGAACTTAAAATAATAGAAGTAAAAAAAATTAAAACAAAAAAATTAAAATAGAAATTAAAAAGTAATCAGGTGGTAATTACATGGTGTAATTACTAGCAATTCACAGCCTCTGTCTGTGAATTGTAGAGTGTAATTACCCCCTGCCAATTACACCAATTACATGTTGACCAAGTAATTACGTATCCTTCCAAACAGGACAAGACAGTCAAAAAGGAGGAAGAGAAAGTTACAGGTGTGATTTCAATCAAAAAGGTAGCAGAATAATAAAAAAAAAAAGTTACAGGTGTCAAACGCATGGATTTCACTTATCAACTTAAATGTGATTGTGACTTTTTAATGAGGTAATAATTTTATTTTTAAATAGTTTAGGGGGGGTAATAGGACCCCCGTGAAGTATAAGTGTGTAGTTGGAAATCCGATAATAGATTGGGGGCTCATTTGATCATTTTCTCTTTTTTTATTGACATACCAAACATAAAAATAAGTCAAAAGAAAATTACTTTTTAAATAACTAATACCATGGAATACACACTCTAAATGAATCAAATTATGTTTATTGAAGCAAGTAAATTGAGATAGTAAAACGTTATTTTAATATAAAGTTATCAAATTCAAGAATCCATTCGTATAGTCCATGTTCTCTTAACACTCCTTCATCTATTTAATTTTTTAAGAATAAAACAAAAATACAAAAAAGAGATAATCGGTTACATAAACATGTATACTTTTCATGATCGCCTGTCAGTGGAAGGTTTCCTGCGTTCAGTCAATCTACGCAGAGTGAATTGGTCCCTAAGGAACCCCCGAAAGGGCTGCACACATGCATTTGGACTGAGAAAAGAAGGCGATGATACCTCAAAACCGAATATAAGGTTGTTTGGTATTGAGGATGTTAAGAGATAATAATAAGCCAACTGTACTATAATGATAAAATAACAAATATCATGAAATACACAAATTTAATGTATGCAAAACTACATACCAAATTATACCAAAGAGAAAATCAAATCTTGATTAAAAATATGATTGCCAAAGCTCTAGCGCCGATCAAGGTTTCGACATCTAAGACCAAAAACTCAAACCACACAACATATGTATAATGAAAATGCCAATGAAATGTTTCAATAACGTAAGATAAAAAGGGATAGATATATTGAACCAAGCTGAACATTTGAAATACATATTATAATTTCAACTGTTTACCAATGTTTTCCATGAAAATTCTAAGTTCAAGCAAAATCTGTAAGTAGACAATAAACCTCCTAAAATACACTCAAGGGGAACAACAAATGGAAAAGGGGACAACACTTCATAAACTGAATTCTTCGACTTCTTCTAATCGAAAAGACTGAAGCCCATGTCATCATCTGACTCCTCTTTTTCTTCCACTTTCTTTTCTTCCTTCTTCTCCGCAGCAGCAGGTGCAGCAGCACCGCCACCACCAGGTGCAGCAACTGCACAAGCAGCACCTCCACCAGCAGGTACTGAAGCCAACTTTTCTCTGCCGGCAGCAATCAGCTCAGTGATATCTTTGCCCTTCACTTGAGAGAGAAGAAGTTGAATCCTATCATCATCAGCCTCAGCTCCAACTGCAGCATGTATGTCGAGTGTTAATTCAAAATGAACCACTAAAACCAGCAGACATGTATCACAGTTAAGAATAACAAGCCAGAACAGTTTATTATGGGAGCATGAACCTAATAACATATAGCCAGTTACATACAAGACAATACATAGAAACAGTGCAATCCAATTCAATATCTACTAGTTCAGTAGGATCAACTAAATTACACATCATCAGTTTAAGATACTTCAGAGAGAAAACCCAATATAGAACAATATTCAATAGCATCAAGGTAATTATATGGCATCAACTTTAGACATTGAATCAATTACTGCAAGGTTCTTAATACAAAAAAAAAGAAGCAAGTATTACAGTATACTTTCCCTCCAGACAGGTCAGGCAGGTCAGGGCACAAGATGGATAAACTTACCTAGGCATCATTGTAGCCCAACTTAAACTTGGAGAACCATGAAAACCGAAAATAATACTAGAGGATAATGAAACCAAAATGTTACCCATAGTTATAATAGCCACTACTAAACCTGGTAACTTGAACGAAGGCAAGGAACGAGTTTAACTTCATGCAGTTCCATAACCCCTAACTACTCTTCAGTCCCAATTTACACAACTCTACATTCAAGGGCGTTCCCTAGATCCCAAAATATTTAACGCTAGTTCACTAATATGAACTAGTATACAACTTCCAAAATTCCAAGTTCTGAAAAATCTCTATCAATCTAATTTTTTCACTATTCCTACAATAGCTACCCCTAATACAATCACAAGTCAAATTGTCATATTATAAGCTGGTACTTCTCTCAGAATAGCTAATAATCTCTAATCTCTAGCAATTGAGCTAAATCTCTCTAGGAAAATCGACAGAATGTAATGCATAATTTGTTTCTTCGGATACACGTACAAGTAATTTAGGCAGATAAACCAACTACATACACATACTAATAAATTACTTCACGGATCACTCGCTATAGAGTGATGTAGAAATGGCAACACATTCCGGATCCATATGCAATAAATCCGTAAGACGGGAAAATGTATATATACAGAAAAGAAAAAACTTGAAGGTCGTACCAGATGCAAGGATTTTCTTCAAATCCTTCTCTGAAGGGCAGGTGTTGCCACCTAAGACGGCCAACAAGTAAGCGGCGATAACCTTCATTTTCTCTTTTCTGTTCAAAATTAACACAACAAACAACACATTCAGATATAAATCGCTGAAAGAGCAGAAAATAAACTACGAACAAATATAAAATTGAGAGGGAGAAAGTACTTTGGAGATTTTGAGCAAATTGAGCCTTCAAATGGTGGACCTTCAGTGCTGCTCCTAGGGTTTATGAAGAAACAAGGAATGATAAGATTATATAGCTAGGGTTTTGGGCGGAGTATGTTACATATTTAAGGGCCCATTTGGTTTAATTGTCTTTATTTTTCTTTGAAGGCCCAGGCCCTATAAAACATTGGACAATCCACAAAAATATCCAATTGGGCTTAGTTACAAAATTGGGAAAATTATGCAGAATGACAAACATTTAGCCTATATTAGATACTATAGCTATAGTTTAAAAAAATTATAATTCACGGCTATAATTTTACCAATTTTTGTTATTCGCCTAATTTGTATAATTCATCTGATTTGTATACATCTAGAATTTGTATAATTCAGTTCCTGATTGTATAATTCCAGAATTTTGTATATGTTTACCCTAACTTTTTGTATATGATTTATGAAAAATTAATAATAAATTACCT